TTAGGAAGGCGGGAGGTTTGGTGGCCCCAAGAACCACATGACAGCTTCCCTATGCTTCTATGGCCTAGAGTGGCTCTCCAGGTGAGGATCAAATTACCCAAGCTCAAAGGAGGCTGGACAAGAGTTTTAGGGTGGGGATGTGGGGTACAACAGGATGCAGCTGTACTTACAACTCTGTTAATCTGCCAATGGGCATTTCTCTGCTACTGTTTCTTGTTTTCTTCACTGTGTGGTATCTTGTGGTTAACAGAGCAAGGGAGAGAGATTTCTCCCCCATAAACTCAAATTCCACTTTGCACTTTTGTCTTCGTCATTTCCGTACTGCTTATCTCCTATGGGGATCCCCGCTTGGTGCTTCCCCGCATTCCCCCTTCCTCAAGCAAGAAAGGACTCGGAGAACAGGACCTCCTGCATCAGGAGCTGAGCTTTGAGCCCCACCTCGTGAACTCCCTGAGGGCTGCAGCTGCGGCAGCTTCTGCTTCCTCGAGTTCTCCTGGCCCAGAGTGGGGTCCCCAAATGCTGGTTGACCAAGAATGCTGTCGAGCTTTAACTTAGTTTTCAGAGATAAAGAACTCAGAGTTAAAAATAGCATGTTATTACTTTAAAAAATAAGACTTAAATAAGATCTTTTCAAGCACATAGAGAAAATAATAGGATGAATATCCATATACCCACCACATGTTTCCACAAGGTTCCAATTATCTTTATTATGCTATTAAGAAATGTTCCAGGAGCTGGCCTAGTGGTTAAATTCACACACTCCACTCTGGCAGCCCCGGGGTTTGCAGGTTCAGATCCCAGGCATGGACCTACACACTGTTCATCAAGCCAAGCTGAGGCAGCATCCCATATACTAAGTAGAGGAGGATTGGCACAGATGTTAGCTTAGGGCCACTCTTCCTCACCAAAAAAAAAAAAAGTTTCAACATAGAGTAGCTTGCACTTTTCAGAATACAGTACTGGCATTAGAGGCATTCTGAATGATTTGAATGGCACTGACAAGATTCCTTGACCTCTCTGTGCATCAGTTTCCTCTTGGGTAAAGTCAGCATAGTAGTGTTTGTTAGAAAGGGTAGTTAGACTGAAAGTCAATAGTACCTGACACATAAGTGCTCAGTAAATGTTAATTATCATTTTAGGATTACTACTTTGTATTTTCCAATGATAGTAGACCATAATTAAGAACCACAGAAGCAGCACAGGGCTGTGCTTACAATTATGCGAGTTCTTTGCACAAACCTGACATGGGGGCAGGCATTGCCTAGTCATTAATTTATAGTTCACAAGTTTCTGGCACCTGGTGGTATAGTGTGTTGAAGGAGGAGTATCTTTCCATTCACAAATTAGTAGCACAAGGCTGGGTGGGAGTGTGTGAACTTGAATGATTTCAGTTCTGTACTGATAAGCTGGAATAATCCTGTACATCTTGACTGTAGAATTTTAAGAAGTAGAAAGTGGAAATTATCCAGTTTAAAACCACTTAATTCACATTAATATTTCTAAAAAGTTAATGACTATGTGCAACACTGTTAGCAAGTTAGGGGCTGGGGTAAATGCTAATAAAATGACAATTATGAGACAGTTCCCGAAATAGGAGTTTCCTCTCAACACTGGTTGGAGTAGATAACTACAATATTTTGGAGGCAAATTGGCACTATCTATTTACCCTTACATCACTTTGACACAGTAATTCTACCTCTTAAAATTTATCCTAAGGAAACACAAGTACGTGAAGATAAATTATATGCACAAAGACATTCCTTGCAGCTTTGTTGGTAATAAAACAGCAACAAAAAAACAAAAACTGGAAGCAGTCTAAAGACAAACATTAAATAACAGTAGACACCTGGCTAGGAAAAACGGTGAGGGCTGTGCGAACATTGATCCAACCCATCCTTCAAGTTTACAGCCAACCCAAGTTAAGACGGAGAAAGCTCAGCCACGGGCAGTCTGGGACTGGTCTAGAAACCTATCTGTTTCTTTCTTTCAAAGATGTTTTCGTGTACTTTTTGCTATATGTTGTATGTTGGTTCAAATTTGGTGTTTTGTTTTCACAAACTTAATAAAACAACGACTAAGTTTTTTTTACTTTTATACTAAATATACACAGAACACTTGCAGAATCAGCAATTAAAACCCTTCCTTCAAAAGCAAATGCTCAAGGACAGGAAACAATGGTTTCTGGTACCTATTCAAAGCTCGCCTTACCAGTGTGGGAGGAGCACTGAGCAGATTAATGCCCAGCCTTAGGGGCCTCCTCAAATTATCTACAGCGAAACAGCACAGCTGCTGCCTGCCGCTGGTGTTAAGGTCTTCACTTTAACAAGATGCACAGGCCTGACTTCTTGGCCATCCAATCAGGTTCTAGTTTGGAGTACCAAAGGACAGCAAATCAACAGAAGGGAATCCTCCTAGTGCAGTGGTCAAGGCAAAAGCATGGTCAGCGGGGAACTTGTCAGAATGCATATACTTGGGCCCTATGTGCTAGGTGGACCAAATCAGAAACTTACCTTTTAAAAAGTTCTCCAGGTGAGAGCAAATCCCACAAGTTTTGAGAACCACTGTTCTGATCACTTCTAATTTCTCCTTAAACCAAACGCAGTATCAATACTATCAAATACTTCAGAAGAATTACCATTTGACACTTGCTACAAGAAATGGTTTTCAACAAAAAACTACTGGAAATAGTCTACAAAGTTGTACTTGAAAATGGTCAATGAGTGTTGACTTCTGGCAATATAGCCTACAGTTAACGGCCACAGGACTAAGTATACAGAAATGAGCTCAGAGTCCAACACCTGGGTCTGTCACTTAGGGCTTAGATTTAATGGTCATCTTAAAGCATTCCTAAAGAAGGAAAAAACAAAAGTGGCAGTCTTAATTTTATGTTCATCTGAGTAACACAAAAACCTAGTTAATTCCTCCACGGGTCATTCCCTCATCACTAAACAAACATTAAGGCCCTAAGAGATGCCAGGAGCCCTGCTAGCGATGGGTAAGCACAGACAGGGAAGGTGTACCACTGGGGAGTGGAGACGCTCAGGGAACGCAGGAAATAACGGCTTTTAAAACACTCCCTTACAAACATTCTCCCACTTAATTCTCAGAGGAATCCAGCTTCAGAGAAGGCTCTGAGTTTAAGGAATTTGCCAGAGTATTTACTACCCTAAAGTACCACCTGAGGGTTTGCTAAATATTCAGAACCCTGGGCACCAACCCAGACCTGCTAAGGCCCGCAGTCTGTCAAGATCCCCGGTGATTCTGATGCCCTAAGTTTGAGACATTCAACTCTAGTGCATGTTATTCTAAGTGGTACAAACGAACCAGGATGACCAGAGTCAAGTTTCAAAAGACGGCCTTAGCAAAGTGACAAAAGGATTGAAAGGAACTCTTCATGGAGAGCTGCAGTGTTGTGAGGTTGGAGCTCTGGAGCGAGCACAGCTCAGCCAAGGCCTTGATAAGCATACTGAGGCCCCAGAAGACAGTGCAGATATATAGAAGCAGTTCAAACCAGAAAACATAAATTTACATTTTTGAAGGGAAGGGGGTGGAGTGCAAGGGAGAATCAGTTTCTAAACAGGGAATATTTTATGTTGCCCAGTCACAGAAATTTTCCAAACCTGCTAATCAAAATTAGGTAAATAATATTCACCTGAGTCCCACACTGCAGACTAAGTTCCCACGGCTCTTCACTAGAAGTGCTCTATTTTACGACAAAGGAAGCAGCAGAATGTACCTTTTGGTTTGTGTTTTAAAACAGTTAAGCCTTTAGCGCCTAAGAAAGCTGACAGCTCTGTGATTCAACTAGGTTTCCTTGACCACTCAAAATGACTAGGAGTAGAAGTTGATTAATTAGTATCCTCAGTCCATCCTGTTTCAGATAGAAAGCTTTTTTGACTACACAGTCCTTGGCAGGTCTATGGGCCACTTTCATCAAGATTTTAAAAATAAAAATCTGTTGTGTCCCAAATCAAGAATGTGTCCGGGTACTATGTGGTGATGCAGAACGACATTCCCCAGGGAGGAAATAAGCAGCTTACTACCAAACTTTATCTAGGAATGGCCACGTGTACTTCATGCAGCATTTGCTTCGGTCAAAATATCTAGATCTGAAATGTATTTCTCTCTCTGAAAATCTGCATCATCTCATTTCCTGCAAACCACTCCTGGGAGAGGGGAAGCACACCATTCTCTCTGATTTATGAGTGATGAACTGGAGTTAAGAGGGGCTGCTGGCTTACCCTTGCTTACATGAGCAGCAGAGGTGGAACTCAAAGCTGTAGTCCTTCTGGCCCCTCCGCCTGCTGGATGCATTTCTTGAACTGGGCTTCAGCAGATGCCTGTGGCACACACAGGAATGCAAGACGTAACAGTCTTCCGAAACTGGTGCTGTCATGACGACACAGCTGTCAGCCAGGCTGCGGTTCACATACTGGACACTATTTCTTAGAAACAAAGATTCCTCTTTGGTGTTTGATGTCCTGGTTTACACCTTACTCCTACCGACGTTTTTTCTCATCTTGTTTTCCTTTTATCCCTCATTCTTCACTATAAAATTATCTGGTATTACCTTTTTAAAAAAAGTCACTTTAGAAACAAATCAAGGTTTACGTGAACAATTATTCTGTTGTACCTTTCAGAATTGCGAACAAGTAAAGTTAGGGACACAATTTTTTTCTTTCTGAAGAGATACTGGAAAGCTTTGTTCATCTAATTTTAAAATTTTGAACACAAAACACAGCTTTATTTAAATAAATACGGAGGCAGAAAGAAGAAAAGGAGAGAAATGAAAGACAGCCCAAAAAGGTAAGAGAAACATATTTGAGTGAGGTTCTTAAATTGGTCAATCTAACCACTGCCTTCCAAAAGGCTAAGTTTCAAATGAATGATGCACAACTCTCACCTTTCAGCTATAATTATCGAAACAATGATCATCAAATGCTAAATAAAATACAGAAAGGGCCAAAGATTATCTAAAATGTAGAAATCACAGAACTGCCTTAAAATACAAAGAAAATATTTTTATTTGTATAACAAGGACTCTAAGAAATGATGACATAATAAAGTTAACAGAGCTGCTGTCAAGACACAAATAGGCTTGAAAAGCTATAGCCGATTAATCACTGTGTGTCACCCAACCTCCCCTGGATTATTTCAGAAACCATGTCTGGTACATGCCTGACTGAATCTTAAGCACAATGTATCCAGGTTCAATCCAGACTCAATGATGGTTCCCTTTGATTAGTCTTCAATATCTTTCTTTTTTTTCTTTTTCTTCTTTTTCTCTGGACTCTGCAAATAACCAACAAGAATGCTTTTGAAAGAGCTGTAAATACATAGGTGAGTAATAATAACTTTTCTTTATAAAAAGCAAAGTAGACCTACTTTTCTTGAAAACAAATTTGGGGAAAGATTAAAATATAAAAACCACCTCTATGAAAGCGATCTGTAGCAAATCATATGCTCTCCTTTCCTCAAAGCAAGTCTATTTTATAGTAAGATTCTACGTTTGGGAAATGGACCTTAAAATATAACAATGTCCTTTTACTTTTACCTCACCATCAATGAAAACTTTTTTTTTCCCCTGAGGAAGGCTCGCCCTAACCTAACACCCACTGCCAAGCTTCCTCTTTTTCTATCTGAGCTGCTGCCACAGCATGGCCAGACAGAGGAGCAGTACAGGTCTGCAGCCAGGAACCAAACCTGAGCTGCTGAAGCACAGTGCACCGAACTTAACCACTACGCCACTGGGGCTGGCCCAATGAAAACCATTTTTTCACTGCCTGCTTGTTTCTGATAAAGGGAGTAGAATGAAATACGGAGAGCCTGCCCACGCCAATAAAGTAATGGTGAGTAAGAGCACATACAGCAACTGCCGTGCTGGTGCACGGTTCTTCCTCAGAAAGCGCTTCTTCCTTCACGTGTTTCTTTTTGTCCTTTTTCTTCTTCTTCTTCACAGATGTCTCCTGTTCTTCCACCACGAGCACTCCTTCTTCATCCTCTTCCTCCTCTTCTTCCACTGAGGAGGGTAAGTGTAAAGACACAACAATTAACATTCTATCAGACTTTACACCCCCAAAATCCTTTTGAGTCTTAGTTTTCCCCCGCCAATCTGGTCAACGATCCAGTGTTTATTATATCATTAACTGGAAAGATCCTTCAAACACCCACCTAGTCCATCACCACTAACTTGATAAATGATTTAACGCTCAGAGAGAAGTAAACTTCTCACGATCATGTAGCTATGTGTAGGAATTAGGATTAAAACAAATCCTCCGATCTGCAAACCCACTGTTTCTGGCAGTCAGTCAGTTACACTGGAAACAATTAAAGCCATGCCCTGGAGTGAGGAGGCCTGGGCTCACTCAACCCGCGATGCCTCTGCACTAAGTCATTCAAGCTCTGCAAACTCAACTTCCTCATCTATGGGATTCAGCAATGTCTCTCTCACTGGATTCTTACTAGGACTTAAGATAACACATACAAAATACTTAGCACGATGCCTGGCATGTTAGAACAAAGACTCAATAACGGGACATTTCTTTCATTAGAAATTTGTTCACTGAATACTTATTCAGCACCTACAATATGCCAGGCCCTATTCCAGACAACTGGAGATCCAGAAAGGGATGGAATGGACAAAAATCCCTGTCCTTATGAATCTTTTATTTTGTAGGAGAGTGGAGAGACAAAAGTAAATAAATAAATGAATGAGCAATACACTACACGATATTTTATGCAGTAATCAGTACTAAGGATAAAAATACAGCAGGAAGAGAAACACTGAGGAGGGCGACACATGGACATGTTAGACAACAGAGTCAGACAAACATCTAAAAGAGACAAAGGAGTAAACGACGACATATTTTGAGGGAAAATATTCCAGGTAGAGAGAAGAGCAAATGCTAAGGTTACTCTGGGAGAGAAGGGGGAGGTGGCAGGTTCCAGGAAGAGCAAGGAGGCCAGTGTGGCTGCAGCAGAATCAGATCAGAGAGCTGACGAGGGTGCCACTGTGGCTGCTACATTAAGAACGGCAGTGGTGGATACAAGTGGTTAGATTCTGGATATCCTTTCAAAGTAGAATTAACAGGACTTGCTGCCAGAGTGATCCGGGTTATAAGAGAAGAGTTAAGGTTAAAGGCCAAAGCAACTAGAATTGCCATTTATAAAATGGAGAAAATTGTGGAGTTAACAGATTGGGAGTGGCAAGGATTCAAGAATGTTAAGTTTGAAAAGTATGCATATACAAGTGAAGATACAAATCTGGAGTTTGGTGTTTCAAATGCTAGTAATGGGTTTAGGGATTTCCTTGCTGTGTAATAAGGAAATAGAAACAGGAGTTAAATAACTGGTTTATATTTTCTTCATCCAGGGCAAGAGTCCACATTTGCTGACAGCACACTTCGGACAACTAAGCTATTTAGAAACCAAAAATTAAATACATCACTGCTTTAACGCCTGACTCTCTTGCTAGAGTAGCTGGCTGGTGCTCTAACAGAGGCACAGCTAATAAATGGGGGTACTTGCTTGTCAACTTTGCGAGACAGCCCAGGCCGCTAGAGAGCACCTACTGAATACGATTACTATGACGGCAGGCTGCTCAGTCCACCCATACAAGAGAAACACAGAAAACCACTGATGACACCAATTCTATGCTGAACTATACAAGAAAAATATTTCAGTAACCAATTTAGAAACCATATACCCTTTTCCTTCTATTTTAACCTGATTCTCAAAATAGTTCACAGTAGAAATGGAAGTTTTGGTATACTTAGCATAACATGTAATTCTACATATTCAAAGAAACGCTTCGCACATTTCTCCATGGAGTCTGATGAATCTACCGACATCCTAACTATTCCCAGAGAATATGACGGCTTATTAGAACACGGCCAGCCTTCCACATGGGTGGCTTCACAATCAAGTTCAACAGCACGTACCTTCCCAAGACTTACCGAGTCTGTACTTCTTAAGGAATAGGAGTATAAATGACATTTTAGAAAGTCAAACTAACCTTTAACTTTAACCTTAGCTTTTTTGGCCTTCTTTTCAATAATTTCGTCCTCTTTATCCACTTGTTCTATCTTGCGTTTTTTAGAACAGGTTGGCAGTGTGGAGTCACCAGAAGGATCATAAGTCTTCACTTCACTGAAAGAGCCAAATAATTTTAGAAAATCTCTACAAATATCTGTAAGTGAAATAATTCTAAAGAGATGTAAAGGAAATGCCATTAGATAATACCTACACAAGCACACAATATGCTCGCTCATGTTACTGGCTTTGGGGTAGTTTATGAAAACTAATAGTTTCCAAAAGATAAGTGGTAGCTAAATGAATTCTGGTTTAGTAATCAATGAATATTTTTCTGTACCACAGTCACTACACTCAGCACAGGGAAAAAAGGGAGAAAATTTCTTATACCAAATGATTATACTAGAAAGTAAAATGAAACCAGTTCAAGTTTTAGAACACTGGGTAATTCAAAGAAAACAAAACAGAAGGCCTAAATCAAGTTAAACAGAGAAGACTTCACCCTAAGACCCCAAGAGGCTGAGCAGCAAGAGGACACGTGACCAAAGGGCTGCCTGGAACCCACCATTGGCTTTTGTTCTAACACGGCAGAAAGAACAAATGGAATGGAAGTATTGGGTGCCAAAAATGTGAACTAAATCTCATAATTAGTGCTTTAAGTGCATGTGTTTAAAATCATCAGCATCATGGCACAGGAATACTAAAAACCTGTTCAAAACAAGCTAAGGAATATTCTATTTCTTAAGCTAACCTGTAGACTCATGGCCATTTAACTTTTATAGGTTAACTTTTGTGAGTTATAATTTAAAAAACAAAGATCCACATTTGTCAACTAAAGACCACAAATTAGACATTAAAATTATAGAATATATGGTCATTGTAGAAAACTCGGAAAATTCACAACATACAAAGAAAGTGTTAACACCCACAACTGAATACCTTTGTTTTTTTCCAGAATAAAGAAAAACAACTTTTCTGAATGTGTACATTTAAAAAATATATATTTATGAGATGTTACCATATATTGCTCTTCCTACCCACTTATAGCATAAGATTTTACTATTAAAATTCTTAACGGGCCTGGCCCAGTGGCGCAGTGGTTAAGTGTGCACATTCCGCTTTTGCGGCCCGGGGTTCACCGGTTTGGATCCTGGGTGTGGACATGGCACCACTTGGCAAGCCATGCTGTGGTAGGCATTCCACATATAAAGTAGAGGAAGATGGTCACAGATGTTAGCTCAGGGCCAGTCTTCCTCAGCAAAAATAGGAAGATTGGCAGCAGATGTTAGCTCAGGGCTAATCTTCCTCAAAAAACAAACAAACAAACAACCAAAAAAAAACCTTAACGGATTACAAGAGTCCTCAAAGTAGAATTTATGGGTTAACAACAAGCAATATATATATATATATATATATATCTATTTTAAAAGATTTTTTTTTCCTTTTTCTCCCCAAAGCCCCCCAGTACATAGTTGTATATTCTTCGTTGTGGGTCCTTCCAGTTGTGGCATGTGGGACGCTGCCTCAGCGTGGTTTGATGAGCAGTGCCATGTCCACGCCCAGGATCTGAACCAACGAAACACCCAGCCGCCTGCGGCAGAGCACACGAACTTAACCACTCGGCAACAGGGCCAGCCCCAACAAGCAGTACTTTTAAGGCTCTTGATACATACTGTCAAACTCCTTCCCAGAAAAGTTGTACCACATTCTCACAGCCTCACCAATATTGAGCATTACCTCAAATAATAACCAAACACCTCTCCCCACACATAACTTTCTTTTCTTAATTTCATGGTGAGGTCTGAAAGGTTTCCATGCTTCTCAGCCATTTTTAGACTTCAGTCTTTTGACTCTTTTTTAAAAAATACGTTTCATTGTGGATTAACTCTGAATGGACCTTCTTTTTGATAAATGGTATACTATACAGGAGCTATGAATGACAAATATTCAAATATCAATATCTGAAAATGATTAAGTTAACTATCAGGAAAGAAAAAACCTGCCAAAAGAAGTATACTATGTATACTTATTACAACAATGTGAGAATATACACATATGATTAAAAACCAGAATGTGACTACAAAGAATTGTAAATTGGAAAGAAAAAAATTAGGGGATATTGAGGTGCTTAAGTTTATAATAAAACAACTGCTGTCAACAGTCAACCTTATTTAAATAAGCAGAGACTGTTCATCCACCCTCCCCTAAATGTACTTACCTTTTATGTTCATATTTTTCTGCTTTTGCTAATGCCTTTCCTGTTCCACTTATTTTCCTTATCTAAGGAAAGAAAAAATTATCAATATTTTCTAAGGCATAATCTCTTTATAACATATCCTCTAGTATATCAATTCTTTTTTTTTTTTTCAAGATTTTCTTCTTTTAAAAAAATTTCTTCTTCTCCTCAAAGCCCCCAGTACATAGTTGTATATTTTGGTTGTGGATCCTTCTAGTCGTGGCATGTGGGATGCCACCTCAGCACGGCCTGATGAGCAGTGCTAGGTCTGCGTCCAGGATCCGAAGTGGCGAAACCCTGGGCTGCCCCCTATCAATTCCTGATAAATTATAAGGCAAACTGTTAATAGCCAGCACAAAAAGAATTTATTAGACAACTAAAATGTATCAAAATAGAACTGTTTGGAGGTGGAATTAATAAGTACATAAACTAGTCAGTTTATTAACTTTTGACAGCTAACACTTCTGCAAAAGGCAGGATGTGGTTCTTACCCCTCTATCTTCCAGGGTCCTCAACCTGGCCTCTAATTTGGCTCTGTTCTCAACTCCCATCGCAGAACTGGAATCTTCACCAAAAGCATCATACCTGATAGCCAAAACGGTTTTGGCAGCCAGCATTCGAGAAATCTAACAGAGAATCCGAAGTTAGAGGCATCCAAACTATATTCCAAGTTGACATGTAAAAATCTTGTTAATTAATTCACAAGAAAACTACAAAAAATCATCAACTCTACCACTCATGCTAGGATTTTTTAAAATCAGGAATTACCGAAGTTTCATGAATCATACAACTGGAGCTTCCTATCCTGTATTGGAATCTTTGCTATGATCTAATGGCTAACTGGTTACACACGACCACCATCATTTTGGTGAGTTAAGAGATATTCTAGTAGCTCATGTCTCAAACAATCTCAAATTGTTCTTTTAATGTCTTTAGTTTCTACTCAGTAACATTAGTTCTACACAAGGTCATCCAACAAAAGTGTAGCCCTTTTTCAAGCTAATTAAGATTTTATTTTACTGAACCCTTTATTTCTCCTATTGCTGCTTTGAATTTTATAAAATTTCAGTTTCTGTTAAAGTACGTATCCTACGAAAAAGCTCAAAAGAACTTAATCTGTTTGAGCCTGTTCCCTCACCTGTAGGGTTATTACAAGAATTCCCTGAAGCCCCATCAAGTGTTCAGCACAGTGCATGTGCTATTATTTTTATAACACACACATGTTGATGTGCAACTTACCCCACCCCTCACCAACAAGTGGATTCTAGAAAAATACAGAGGGAAAGAAAATGGCTTTAACAGGACCAATAACACTTTAACTTTTCTTTCAGTGTACAAAAGTGCTTTTTATTTAAAGAATTCACCATTCTCTATTTAATGAGAAAGAGGAAAAGATTTATTGCATACTATGGAGTAGGAGGAATATGGGTGGCTCGGAGAAAAAAGAAAAACGCCCACCTCAGGAAAACTGTAACTCACCTTCCCTTTGTGTTTGGGACTTGTCTGGCCTACAAGTGAAGCATGATAAATGAGCCCATATTTAGGAGTGTCTCGTCTAGACTTGAGGGCTCTGAAGAGTGCCTTTTCTGCTCCAAGAATCTGAACTGTAGATGCTGCATGCTTGGCCAAATTCAAAAGAGAACCTTCAAAAGAAAAGAAGTAGTTTCAACAGGAACGCACTTCCAAGTATTTGAACGTCCAACGTGGTAAACACAAGACCTATGCAGGCTCAGCATTAGAGCCGCGACACAGGGTTCCACAGTCCAGGACGCCCTACAAGTCCTGACGCCTCCGCATTTGAGCTCCGTCTCTCAGCACCGCAGGCAGAGAGGTCTGCGATCAACGTCAACGACAAACTGAAGGTTAAGCTGATTAGTTCAATTTTACTTAGTCACCCAGGAAGGTATTATCATTCTGCATTCCACTAGAATACCATGGGAGAAATACAAACATATGTATTCATACACCCTCCAATCTTGCCCCTATTTTTCTGAGATTCTGGACTTCAAATATTCTACTTTAGCTATGAAAAAACATACAAATAAAAGGAAAATTACTGGGATATCTTGGTTCTAGAACTGTGTGATAAATTTCTCACGTTTTATTTACTGCTGTTGTTTAAGATGCGAACGAGGAGATATGCTTACAATAATCAGATACCAGAAGGCGCTGCTTTGCTAGATGCGCTGTGCAGATTTTCTGTCAGAAAACACCCCCAACGTTAACACAGTCACTCAACCACCAGACACGTTTAAAACCAACAAACACACACTTCTGTTAATCCTTGCACTTCTTATTGTTGCGAGTTTAACTAAACCTATGAAATTTTGGATGTGGACAACAAAATCAGCCCAGACTATCCCGACCTTGTAGCTGAGGGTATCTGAATGCCACTTATTTGTCTGATCAACAATACAGCTAATGGAGCTATGAACACTTCGATAGATGATAACAATGCCTCCAATAAAACAACGATCTAGTACTTCACTGCATTTGCAAGTATTCAATTACACAGCATTTTTGGTAGTATACTGTCTTTATAATATCACCATACATACATTAAGTTTGATTATCACTTATTCAAAATATTTTTGGATGTCAAATATATATATATTTTTCAAACATATTAAAATAGCACTTCCAATAGTGACAGATCCTTGATCAAGGGTTTATATAATCTGTTGTGATTTCTTAAAACTATTCAAGTTTTAATCTGATGAGTTTTTAATATAAAATATTAACTGACTTCATCCTCCTGCATTCATCTGATTATTCTAATTAACCGTTATAACCTGAAAATGGACCGCCAAGTGTCTCAGAAGAGGTAGTGACTAAAGATGCCTTCATTATCCAAAAGGAAATCGGGCATATAAACAGAAATCATCATTGAACACTTGGTCCTTAGTCCTCACCCACACACCTTCTACCTCTATTTATTACTATTATTTAAAATTTCTTTAATAGCTGTAGTTTAAAGATTAAAATAAAAAAATGCTAACTAGAAAACAACTCAACTTTAAATAGCCACGTTTACAAGTTAAACTAAAATCATCACCTGCATGAGCAATAAGCCGTGCTCCAACTAGCTCCCCAACCATCACTGTAACATTGGGTGCAATGGCCATCATTCGATTTTGTAGATATTCATAGAGCTGGGTTCTATACTCTGAGATTTCAATCACCTAGTATAAGAAACAAAATGAATAGGTCATAAATGACTCAAGAGTAAACAGTCTAAAATTCACATGTCTAAAACATGCAGTCCTAAATGATCACACAGCAGCTGTGCAAACCTGGGAAAATTAGCCACTCCAGACCTCAGCTTCCTATAAAGGAGCTGTGTTGAACATTTTATTAGATACTGTAGGTAAACAATCTAATACACTGCCTAAAAATGTCAGTCAATGTTACTGTTATTTTAAAAAATCCCAAGGGCTAGACATTTGTGTCATCCTGATTCTTGTATAGCTATCCCCAAATGAGGGAAAAAAGTTCACTACAGGCTATAAACACAAAAGTTAGAATGAGTTGGGCCCAGCCACATGGCTGAGTGGTTAAGTTTGCGCACCCTGCTTCAGTGGCCCGGGGTTTCGCCAGTTCAGATCCTGGGCACGGCCAAGGCACTGCTCATCAGGCCATGTTGAGGCGGGGTCCCACATGCCACAACTAGAATATACAACTAGGTACTAGGGGGATTTGGGGGGAAAAAAGCAAAAAAGATTGGTAGCAGTTGTTAGCTCACATGCCAATCTTAAAAAAATAAACAGTGGCCAGCCTGGTGGCGCAGGGGTTAAGTGTGTACGCTCTGCTTCTTGGTGGCCCAGGGTTCGCAGGTTCAGATCCCGGGTGCGGACATGGCACTGATTGGGACACCATGCTGTGGTAGGCGTCCCACATATCAAGTAGAGGAAGATGGGCACGGATGTCAGCTCAGGGTCAGGCTTCCTCAGCAAAAAGAGGACTGGCAGTAGTTAGCTCAGGGCTAATCTTCCTCAAATAAATAAATAAATAAATAATAAAAATAAACAAACAACTCGAGCTATACTTCTCTGCTTTCTTAATGGATTTATAATTCATTATTCAGACAATGCTATATTGTCTGAATACAAATAATACAATACAAATAAATTAGACAGGACTCAACTTCATTTTAGTATATACTTCCCACACTACGTAAATCAAGATGGCATCAGATGAGGTAGTGACTGAACACCTTCATGTTTGTTTATCAGGTGAACAATAAGTTGAAAAATCATCACTGCCATCAGAAAGTCACTGTTACAGAGCTGGTACCATCACAACTAGTTTCTCTATGTGGATAGTCTACCTGAGTGCAGAGATGCAGAATGTTGCAAATATCTTCTTCTGAAACCTCTGTCCCCATTGATATCTCTGCAGCCGCTTTCACTTCTGCTTCCACTTCTTCCGGCAGTAATTCAGAAAGTTTGGCCGTGGCATAATTCTTCCTATCGCCTATGGAATGTTTGCAGAGGATGAGGGAGAATCACTCTTCAATAAATTAATAAAATCCACCAAACAGTCAAAAGAAAAAGTAGAGATAAGCCAATGAAAAGGGTGCCTAAACAAAACAAAAAGCAAACAAGTTTGACCTAGTAATAATTTTCCTTATGTCAAGGCTTGATTTTAGAGATTAAAATCTCTCCCCACCACCTCCCTCCAAAAATACAAATTATAGATTTAGAATAAAAACAATATACTCCATGAAATAGGGCTAATATTGTGATAGACAATTGATAGCTAAGGTTATATTCTTGGACTGGTAATACGGTAATATAATATGAGCCAGGTAACTCATATTTACCAACACTCTTCAGGTTCTAAATAATATATCTGTACTATTAGTATAGGAGATAATACTAACAGTATAGACAGCAATACCACTTTTAGAATTGATTATTATTAATATATTTCAGGATATCCCCCCAGGTTTACAGTTGCCCCATTAATGGCACATTCACTATGAGAAACATTCACCATAAGAAACATCCACCATAAGAAGTCATTTTAAGAAACACCAAATTAGAAAACCATTTCTCTGTTGTATAGGCCATAATATCAGAGCTAATTTTGTTTCTGATATCTAACAGACATTAATATTGCTACACTCTCAAAACATACATAAGTTTCAAAACACTCCGGGAAGTGTGAGAAAAAAGTCACTCTAATGTTTTAGGATGCAAATGCCTTAAAGGATATAGCCACTCACCAACTTTCTGTAAACACTTGCAGTATGTCAAATTATCTGAAATAATTTTTCCTAATTCAGGGAAGTGCCAGCCATACCATTCTCTACACCGCATAATGTAGTTGTTTAGTTCTTTATCCAAGTCATCTAATAAGGCTGCAATAGATTAAAATGAAAAAGAAAACAGGAACTTAAAAGGGTTAATTGTGCCAAAATCAAAATTTACCATTTTAACCATTTTCAAGTGTACTGAGTGGCATCAAGTACATTCACAATGTTGTGCAACCATCACCACTATCCATCTGCAGACCTCTTTCAACATCCCATATAGAGACTCTGTACCCATTAAATAACCCCCCATCCCCACCTCCCCCAGCCCCGGTAACCTCTTCTACTTTCTGTCTCTAGATTTGCCTTCTCTACGTACCTCATAAGTGGAATCACACACTATTTGTCTTTTTGTGTGTGGCTTATTTCACTTAGCATAATGTTTAAAAAATTCATCCATGTTGTAGCATGTATTAGAACTTAATTCCTTTTTAAGGACGAGTTACATTCCACCATATGTACATACCACATTTTGTTTATCCATTCGATACTGGGTATTTGGGTTGTTTCCACCCTTTGGCTATTGTGAATAATGCTACTATGAACACAGATACGTAAGTATCTGTTTGAGTATTGCTTTCAATTCTTTTGAGTCTTTATCTAGAAATGCAATTGTTGTTTAAAGAGAAGTTTAAAACTGAAAATTGTTTATAGTCTTTGCTGTTTCCAAAAACCACTTAATGGGAGAATGACCTATTATAAAGGTAGGTGTAAAAAAAGGCAAAACACAACACAATATGGATCCTATTTATGGTCTTATTTTTCACGGAAAAAGTCAAATGAACTGGTTTATATTAATAGTATAAGGCACATTATCCCCAACAAGTCAAGTTATGGGTACTTTTTCCTTTTTCTATTCTGCATTTTCCAACTTATTTACTTTTTACTTATTAAAAGTTCTAACTGATCTTTCTCTTCCTAACAGATAGCAGGAAAAAGCATGACCCTCATGTGTAATATACTTACAAATTGCCTGAACAATCATTGTGTCCACTTTATCAGCACTAAATTTCAATCTGTATCGGGACAAGCTAGAGGGAAAGGAGAAAAATTAACAATTACTAAGACAGCAACTAGGAAAAGCATTTAATTAACATCTTAAAACTTTTTTTGGGGCTGGCCCAGTTGCCGAGTGGTTAAGATTGCACACTCCTCTTCAGCGGCCCAGGGTTTCACAGGGTCAGATCGTGGGCGTGGACATGGCACCACTCATCAAGCCATGCTGTGGTAGCGCCCCACATGGAAAAGTAGAGGAAGATCAGCAACAGATGTTAGCTCAGGGCCAATCTTCCTCACCAAAAAAAAAAAAAAAAAAAAAAAACCAAACTTTTTTTTACCCAAATCCTTCTCCTTGGAGCTACACTGTTTTCTTTTTATTTTTCTACATAGGAAAATCAGTTGAACAATACAATATGCAAGACCAGAAAATACACATTTAAAAAGAAAATAATTTATCTGTCCTGCTATAAAATTTCTGTAATATGAATTAATATATGAACAAGAAATGGGATCATACAGTATAGCGTAATTCATACTGGTCCATAAGACTTCTGCAGCATATTAATGCCTTACACTAGCAGGTAAGAAAAGGTGCAGTAATGTAACCCCTGAAAATAGCAAGCCATGGAGGAACAATATTGTATATTAACAGTTTCTTTATTTTGGCACTATAGCCACATATCGCTTAATAACGGGGATACATTCTAAGAAACACGTCGTTAGGCAATTTCATTGTTTGTGCAAAGATCAGAGAGTCTACTGACACAAACCTAGATGGGATAGCCTCCTATGCACCTAGGCTGTATGGTATTAATCTTATGGAACCACTGTCGCATATGAGGTCCATCATTGCCTGAAACATCATGTGACCCACGAGTGTATTAACATTGTGGGCCTGATAATTCTTTGTTGTAGGGTGGTATTTCGTGCATTGCAGGATATTTAGCAATATCCCTGGCCTCTACCCATTATATGTTAGTAGCAGACCCCACTTCCAGTTGCGACAACCAAAAATGTCTCTAGACTTCCAAACGTCCTCTAAGGAATATCTGATTGCGCTCGACTGAGAACCACAACTGTGCTCAACATCAATTAACCACGTTTGCATCTTGACTCAGTTTAGCCATTTGTTGTCTCTTAGAAATGATTCCAAAGTTCTTCCTGACTTTTGTGCATTTTGATCATCTCTATAACTCAGTAGCTTTAACTCTTTCATCAATCTACGCTCAGTTTTTTTGTTGTTCAAAAGTACAGACCTTTCTACTGTAGTATTTCTGTAACATAAATTTAACAAGTCTTTTTAACTATGTTAATATTTTGGGGGGTTATTGTGTTTGACAGTTCTCTGGTTACAGGGTTGCATAAGTTTTGAGTAATCTGCCCTTAATCTGTTTTTTCTTCATAAACCTTGTTACTTCAGTGTAATTTCACAGAATGCCAAACTTTTCAGGAATATGGTATAGCAGAAATGTCTGTTCTAATGGACCACTGGTTAAACACGATAGGTTAATGTGCTTCTCTTTGCCTTATTATTATAAAAACTCAATAAAATTCAGAGTAAAGCAAGCAACACAGGCACACACAGACACAGCAGAAGGGTAGACTATATCATATGAGAAAATTTTGGGAGAGGGCAAGTAAATGGAGGAGTAGCAAATGATTTAGCAGAGATAAAAGAAAAAAGAACCCCAAGAATTGTGGGACCCAAGACTAGAGGGGTGGACAATGTCTATGATGACGGTTAGAGTCCAGACAGCGGAGCCAGACTGCCTGGGTTCAAATCCTGGCTTCATCTTTACCAGCTGTACTGACTTTGGGCATCCGTTTCTTCACCTGAAAAATGCGGAGACTACTACCACCTCCCTCATAAGGTTGCTGTGAGGGTTAAATTAGTATTTGTAACATGCTTTCAACAGCACTGTACAATTGTTTATTAAATAAAAATAAGCCGACTTTATTCTCCAGTAAATCTCACCTGTGTGCCAATCCAAGACACATAGCTGCCATTTCGCGTGGTTCTACCCCAGGGATTAATCCATCCATCTGTGAACGGATTCCTCTCATAAGTTCATTAACGACAGGACTATGGATACAACTGAGATTTAGCTTTTCCTACAAGAACAAGAGCATTGGTATTAAATAAAGAAATAAAAGTTTTCCTGAAATCATTTAAATGTTAAAATAGCACTGATTTAAATATATACATCTCTTAGTTTCATAAAAAGCAGTTTCTAGCGTGTTTGTGGGAAAAACACTTGAATACTTGTGGAAGTCAAAATTGATAGAAGCTTCCTGGAAGGGTGCTTGGCTCCATGCATCAAAAGCCATAAAAAGATGAATACAACTTAACCTAGCAGCTTTGTTCTTTTTATTGGTTTGAGGGATCATTTACACCCATACGTTATTTAGCTTCTTTTTAAGATTATAAAATTAACACATAGACAGATTTTAATCAATAGTACTATAGACAAGGGAACCGAATGAGAAGCACAAGTTGTGAGCTTTGGACCGTTTTCCCTAAAGATAAGTAACTTTTAGCATCCCTTATGTACTTCCAAATATATACACATGTGTACACACATACACAAATCTTGATAAATACAGCTTAAAATTTACACATCCCACACAACACGATAAATTGTTCTGCACACCTTCACACAAATATACACAGTTCTAAGTTCACCAAATGCAAATAATGTCAAGCGTGCAAACTGTATATATTGTATCATATGTTTAAAAAACAAATATTTAGTATGTATACAAGTGATATACAGTGGAAGGTTTTGTGTGTGTGTGTGTGAGGAAGATTGGCCCTGTGCTAACATTTTTGTCAGTCTTCCTCTATCTTATATGTGGGCTGCTGCCTCAGCATGGTTCGATGAGCAGTGTGTAGTTCTGCACCTGGGATCTGAACCCACAAACCCCAGCCCTCTGAAGCAGAGTGCACGAACTTAACCGTTATGCCACTGGGCTGGATCCCAGCGTAAGTTTTTCAACTAGACAAATTGAAAGGAAAAAATTAAAGATATCCCATAATCCCACCATTCAGCAATTTGTTCTTCTGCATGCCTTTCTGTGTATATGTTTACTATGCTAAAACTTAATGTTTTTAAAAGGAAAGTATAAACTAAGACTTGTGGGGACTTCAAAGGATGAAGATAGAGATTGACATCATGACAGAAAACTTCATTAACTGACAGTAATTAGAAATAATCTATTTAGGGGCCGGCCCTGTGGTCGAGTGGTTAAGATTGCACACTCCGCTTCAGCGGCCCAGGGTTTCACAGGTTCAAATCCTGGGCGCGGACACGGCACCGCTCATCAAGGCATGCTGAGGCAGGGTCCCACATGCCACAACTAGAAGGACCCACAACTCAAAATACATAACCATGTACCGGGGGCCTTTGGGGAGAAAAAGGAAAAGTAAAATCTTTAAAAAATAATAATAATAATTAAAAAAAAGAAATAATCTATTTAAGTGAAATTCTTAAATTCACAATCCTAGCTTTAAAAACCCTCAAAATCTCTTCAGCACTTTCCTACCTACCAAGACCTACAACATAATGAAACCTTTACTTCAAGAATCAGAGGTATGTTCATGAACATAATTAACCTGGCACTATAATATCTACTGTAACTACTAAAGATCAAACTATCACACTGGCTCTCCAACTGCTCTGCTTTTCACGTCTGGGAGCTTACTTCTCCAGGCTTTCTTTCCACTTTCATGTTATATTTAATCTCTAGCAACTCTACCCCCTACTAAAGTTTTCTAATAAACATATACACTAAAAAAGAAATATCATGACCCTAATCATGAAAAAAAGAGTGGGTAAACAAAAACATGGTGGGTATACATACAGTGTTAACAGATTATCTCTGGGTAGCAGGGTGAAAGCTAATTTTTATAATTTTGAGGTGTATTTGTATTTTCTATAATGAATAGGCACTGCTCATACACGCTTAGTGCTGATAATCATATTGGAAATCAATTATGAGGTAGCCTAGGGAAAAAAGATCAAGTATGAGACCTTATGACAAAGAACTCACTACAAAGGCTACACTCTGTCGTCACTGTGTGTAATGAGCTCCGCTTAGCAGGCATGAGAGAAAACCATACTTTACCTTTATGACCCCTCCTAGTTTAGCATCAGCTACAGCCAGGGGTTCATGGGCTTCTTTTACTATTTTCTTCAGAACCTTCTTCAGCTGCTTATTGATTTTGCCCTCCATCAGAGCTGTGAACGCTTTTCAGGAAAAAGAAAAAGAGAAGAGACAACTCTCAAATTTTTAACTCTAAGAGATGAAGATTTTATTTAAACTTTAAAAATAAAGCAAAATAAACACTTCCTCTCAAAGTGCTGCACTTAACATTACTTCTGAAATGAAATTATAAAGATAAAAATGTTTTGCAAGTTCACATTTCATCATCTCATCTGACCTTCCCACCCTCAGTTCTGCTCCAGAATCAGGAATTAAACTGGAACCAGCATTCCTTTCCCCACGTCACACGAATCTTCTCTGGAACTCAGAGCTAGAATCATAAAATGTTAGAAACAATCCATTTTGGAACGACAAATAGATCCACTCTCCTATGTTATTACTGACTGGCCTGATGCTCTGGATTGTGAAATACCCCAGAATCCGTCAAGACTCTGGTAAAAACGAGTGTATTCATTTTGAAGATTCTTCTGCAGCATAAGCACGTCTGAGTGGAGGCCTTATCTTTCTTTGCTAATCCCTGATCTAGATGTGGTGTCAGGCCTCTGCTTGTAAACTGCAGTGATGGAGAAGTTACTTGTGAAGGCAGCCCACCTGATTTTGGGACTGCTTTCATTTCTGGCGAGTTCTCTATCTGCCGCTTTATAACTCTCACCCTTCCTTAGACCTCCACTTAGATATTCGGGGCCCCTATGGCCTCACACCTCTTCTGATACTTGTCTGGGTTTTGGCTGAGTTTAAAGTATGTTTGGCAGGAAAGAAGTCTGCACAATTTCTAAGGCCAGGTAGTCTGTGCTTAATCAGCCAAGGATCTGTTCTTCCCTCCTGACCAACGTCTCCACCCATCTGGATCACGAGTCCACTTCAGCTGTCATCTGGGAAGAGGAAAGGTAAGGACAAAACCTATTTGGTGACTACACAGCTCTTACAGAGGTGTCTACACTCCAAGAAGCTAAGATTCAAGCTACTTTTGTTGGGTTTTAACCTTTTACATATTGTACAACACTGACTCCTTATAATCTACTTTTCTCATAAGAGTTGTATTTTTTGCTTACAAGTTTTTAATCTTTTATAATTAAAAAATTTTATTCAACTTCCTGCTTCTAGTTTTCAACCTTCCATATCTACTTTTATACTTTAACCTAGTGTTCTCCTTTATTTAAAATTTCTTGAAAGTAAAAATTTCTACTCTAGACCTATTCTAACATTTATAAGCACTTATCTTCCCTTTGTCAAAAGCTTGCTGATTACTCTTCCTAATGTGCATTTTCCGAGACTGCGTAGAGACACAGTGGCCGGGAGAGAGAAAGCTGAGTCTTCCCTCTACTGCTCTTTCCTACCGGCCACGCCCAACATCCCCTAGCAGTCTTCCCACTTCATCCAAACACAGGCTGGCCCCAAATTTTACTGTGGCTATTTACAAGTCTCGCAACTTGAAAATCTGACCAAGAATAAAAATAAACCTATCCATGCAAATGGGATATTTAAACTTCTGGGATGACTATAAATCCTTGACATCGCACCCCATCAGACTCTTTCTTAGGCTACAGGGTTTTAAATGCATACTCTGACATCTACAACCATTTAGTTTTGATTTTGTCACGTCAAAACTGCCTTATAACAGGGAGTAGGAAGTTAATTCTCAGGAAGGACTCTGCTCTCTCAATAAGGTGATGTTCAACTTCCGGTAAAAATAGATGGGAAAAGGCACTGTAGAGGTTTCTATGAGCAGATTCCAGACAGAGCTCACTACTTTCATTCATTTACCCCCAAATATTTATGCACCAGAATCTAGGGATTTGACAGTGAAACAACACTGTCTCGGCCCCCAGGGAACTTATATTGAGGGAGGTGTGTGTGTCAGGGGTTGACTTTAAATTTTCACCTGTCTGGCATTTTCCCCACTTATCTTAGATTATTTTAAAGAACACCAAAAGCTGACTAGGGAAATGAGATGCCTCTCAAGCTTCAGTTCATCATCTGTAAAATAATGATAATATTATCTACCTTATAGGATTGTTTCAAGGATTAAATAATTTTGAAGTGATGAGTGCAAAATCTGACAATCTCATGTAACGAATTATTAGCTATCAAGAGTAAAAACCTGTTTTATGTTTGGGTAGAGGTTGGATCTGCCTATTTAATAGTTTAATGAGGACTGGTCAGAAACACCCCCACAAGATTAGAGGTTATATGCAAAAAGGAATTCAAGAGGCCACTCGGGATTGGGGATGCAGCACTTTACAACTGCGGGAGGAGCTGTTCAAATCAGTCTGCGTGAGTGACGCCCCCCGGCAAGGTGGAGAATAGCTAACACAATCTTGCTTGGGATTTTGCCAAAATTCTACCCACATTTAATTTTAAAGCTGTGATGAACAGAATTATCTTAAAAAAAATCTCCAGGCAAAAACTACCATAGTTGCTTTATTGCTCTATTAGGTTCTAATTACTGATGTATTGATGAAGCAGCCTTAAAACTATCTTTAAAATTAAAAATCTAGCCCCACTGTTGGGTCTTCCCTCTGTTTACCCTTCTGCCAAGGTTGAAGTGGCTCAATAATATTCCAGCATATTTATTTATTCATGAGGAAGACTGTTGCTGAGCTTATATCGGTGCCAATCTTCCTCTTCTTTCTATGTGGGATGCCACCACAGCATGGGTTGATGAGCAGTGTGTAGGTCCACGCCTGGGATCGAATCTGCAAACCCCAGCCCACTCAAAGTGGAGCATGTGAACTTAACCACTACGCCCCTGGGCCGACCCCTATTCCAGCATATTTAGTTAGATTCCTAATTTTCACAAGACAACTATACCCTTCTCCTGTGGCTGATGAACAAAATTATTTGGGTCTGTCAAATCCTTGCCTAATTTTAAGCCATATTCGTCCTCATGGTCCTTCATTTTCAAATTATTTAAGCCGAGTAGTTGGCTGATTTGAAATACAGAATTTAAGCAATTGAAAAATTCATGATTAGAGTTTTACATCTGGTTTTCTTGTTTTCCCTAACATTAAAAAAACCTTATAAGACCAAGTGCCTACAGAAGCCAAGCCTAGTTAATAAACCCTATTACTATGTCTGTTGTCCCATCACAAGGACTAGTGGAAGGATATATGAGCCATTCATTCTTCTCAAGTGCTAAACATCATGCCCCCTTTAGATAAACAAGTCTTACGCCTCTCTATAGGTTTCTTATTAGAACACACACACACCAAAAAACCTCTACGAGTTCTCCTAAAACTTTTCATTAACATTGTGCTTTTTCAAACTAAAAACGTACCCCGGAGAGCTGCTTTCTTATTCTTTCAACTGTGAATCCTGGCTATTCTCAACTTTACTCTTGGATTAAAATGATTAGAGCGCTGTGTACTTGACCACATTACCTTGGTCCCTTGTAGAACAGCTTTTACTGAATTGTGCTTCAGCATTATGCTGTTGGTTTCCACAGGGAGATCAACTTAACCACTTCTCACCTCTCATCACATGGGGGGAAAAATCAGCCCTATGGTGAAAAAAGCTAACTCAATGTTGTCTCAGTGGTAGTGACGAATGACTTAGATCACTTAAAATCAGTTCCAAAAAGAATGCATCATTGACAACATTGAATAAGGTTAACTCAGGAAACTGAAGCAATCTTTTAATAAGGACAACAAATTGCCAAAATTAAAAACAAAAGGCTAGTCTTTGACTTTACCTGCTAATGCTTCTGCTGTATCCTGAAATTTCTCAAAATGTTTTAGCTTTACTCTAGAGGGAAAAAACAAAACAAAACAAAAAACATGTTATGGGGGCACAGTGATTCTGAAAAGCCACATATTTAGGAAAGAGGTGCTGGACTGTTTCCAAATCATACTCCAATAAAAGAAACTCTCCTGTCATTGGGTACCAGGGTGCAAAGTTAGACATTCTTCATAAAGTGACCAGTTTCTCCAAATGCTAGGCTAGTAATGCCTGGACTATTACACAGGTTACAGGCTTTGAAGGAAACAGAACAGCAAAGAGGTCTGCTACCACATGTAAACCACAAGGAAGACGCTGAAGCTTCCATATAAGCTCTGCTGCTTAAAAGTGGACACAGATGCCTTTTACTATACAGCATAGAAGAGGCCTAAGAAAAGGTATAAGGGTCCCTCTTCAGTCAGGAATCTCATGACATTGATTTGTCCATCCAGTACAAATGCCATAAAAACAGCTTATTGTCAGACCTGATTCCCGTCACCCTTCCTTTACTCCCCCACCCCAACACTACGTGCAGGGTTACATCATTCTGTCTCAAACAGATAGATACAGTTAATTCATCGTTGTCTCAGTGGTAGTGACGAATATTTGAGTTAGATCACTTAGATTCAGTTCCAACAAGAATACATCATTGACAACAATGAATCAGGTTAACTCAGCCAACTGAAGCACAAAGCCTCTTAAAAGGGAGAACTAATTTTCTGTCGTGTCTAAAATAGTGTTATCTTAAGCAAGGTTTTCTTACCTGATCAGAGAACACCCTGGGGGGTCCCTTAAATATGCAATTAATACAAAGATTTAAGGAAAAAAGAGTAATTTCATCTTATTGCATCTTACCTCACCCCCATTTCCATTCGTCTGAAGTGGCATTTGTTCGTACCTTTCTATACTTACATAAATACACGTATAGATCTATAAAAACACTGCAAAATGGGATCACATTATACAAATTACCTGAAGCACGGTTTTCTCGGTATATCATGGACCCCTCTCCAGGTCAACAAGAGATCTATAGGTATATTACAACTTATTCAACAATTCCACTACTGATGGACATTTAAGTTGTTTCAAATTTTGGGTCTGTGCCACTACAAATGCTGAAACTCTGTATTTTCTCTAACTGTTTAGTATCTATGACATTTTTTTGGGTTCAACACTCTTTAGAAGCTTGGAAGTAGTTTCCTTCTATTCTTATGAGTTTTTTTTAGCACTAGCAGATGAAATATCAAATGCCCTTTGGCATCCAAGGACACCATTCAAATCCACATGTATTAAGAAATAAATCAGGAGCCAGCCCTGATGTCCCAGTAGTTAAAGCTCAGCATGCTCCACTTTGGCAGCATGGGTTTGGTTCTCAGGCATGGAACTATACCACTTGTCTGTCAGCAGCCATGCTGTGGTGGCTGCTCACATAGAAGAACCAGAAGGACTTACAACCAGAAAATATAACTATGTACTGGGGCTTTGGGGAGGGGGAAAAAAGAGAGAGAGAGAGGGGAAAATTGGCAATAGGTGATAGCTCAGAGGGAATCTTTCCCAGCAAAAAAAAAAAAAGAAAAGAAGACGAAAAAGAAGAAGAAGAGATAAGTCAGGTCCTTTCCTAGGACCACACTCATCAAATGGGCTATTTCACAAGGTGATTCACAGAAGGTAAAAACAGCCATTTTGACTCGACCTTAAGGAAAAGCCAACTCTCTCTCCTACCAGGTATTCCTTAAGCAAGACATCAAAGGTATACTTCAGGGGCTGCCCCGTGGCCGAGTGGTTAAGTTTGCGCGCTCTGCTTTGGTGGTCCAGGGTTTCGCCAATTCAAATCCTGGGTGCGGACATGGCACTACTCATCAGGCCGTGCTGGGGTGGCAACCCACATGCCACAATCAGAATGACCCACAACTAAAAAAATACATACACAACTATGTACCGGGGGGCTTCGGGAGAAGAAGGAAAAATAAAATCTTAAAAAAAAAAAAAGGTATACGTTAGGGGCCGGCCGCGTGGCTGAGTGGTTAAGTTCATGCGTTCTGCTTCGGCAGCCCAGGGTTTCGCTGGTTCGGATCCTGGGCGTGGACATGACACCACTTGTCAGGCCACGTTGAGGCAGCGTCCCACACACCACAACTAAGATATACCACTATGTACTGGGGGGATTTGGGGAGAAAAAGCAGGGGAAAAAAAAGATATTAAAAAAAAAAAAGGGGGGGGGCTGGCCCCATGGCCGAGTGGTTAAGTTCGCTCGCTCTGCTGCAGGCGGCCCAGTGTTTCGTTGGTTCGAATCCTGGGCGCGGACATGGCACTGCTCATCAAACCATGCTGAGGCAGCGTCCCGCATGCCACAACTAGAAGGACCCACAATGAAGAATATACAACTATGTACTGGGGGGCTTTGGGGAGAAAAAGGAAAAAATAAAATCTTTAAAAAAAAAAAAAAGCATGCTTTATTTTCTCGTTCAGAGATCGTGATGAACTCAAGTATACCTTTCCAGGATTTACTATCTAGTTATTTTATTATTCCAGATGGAGCTAGGACATAGAAGTCATAAAGAATAAATAAACTATGAATTAAGTTCAAAAACATTTGAATACCACAGGGGCCAGCCTGCTGGCACAGTGGTTAAGTTCGCATGTACCGCTTCAGTGGCCCGGGGTTCACCTGTTCGGATGCAGGTGTGGACCTAGGCACCACCTGTCAACCCATGCTGTGGCGGGCATCCCACATATAAAGCAGAGTAAGATAAGCATGGATGTTAGCTCAGGGCTAATCTTCCTCAAAAAACAAAAAATATTTCAATACCACAAACTCACAGAAACTAAAAGTTAAATCAATCAGCAACGCATTCTTTTGATAATTATTACTTTTAACAGAAATTTACTTCAAGTATCTTACAAAATAGTAATTTTGGGGTACTATCTCAACTAGTCTGCAACTAATACAAATTAGTTGAGATGGCCTATGCTCCAAATAAAGAATGTAATAATTAGGCCATTACCAATATTATTCCTGATATAGATTTCAAAACAAAAAGTTATGAATATAACATTATATGAGTCAGGAGGGGAAAAAACGTAAAAACAAAAACACCCTGAATGTTAACTGCTAAATTCTTAGTTTCAAGATGACTTACATTTTATTTGCTTTCTCCGGAGTTTCAAATTCTTTCCACAAACTATCAACCTCTTGAAGTTTCTTCTCATTCAAAACCTGTAATAAACATTTAAATAATTTTCTTTAAATTGCACCACTTAGGCATACATAATTATGCTTTTCAAGTACAACTGTACAAGCAAAATGAGGGTGGTGGAAGCTATTTTCTTCTCTGAAATAAACCAGTTTTCTTACTCAGCATAATTTTTGGGTCAAATTAATCGCTCAAGTAGCCCATGTAATAAGTAGATGGGATTCAGGTCTCGCTGGGGCCTTTGTTGAGAACCGTTTACTTTGAAGGAGTCCCTACCTCACAAAGCAGGTCATCACGCTTCTCAAAGCAAAACATCAAGGCTCTACTTACGTCCTTTGTATAGAATAAATTTTGTTATTTCCTGCTAAGATCATCCTAACCTAAGAGTATTACGGATTTCTCTAAAACTAAGATACCATCAATTGCAAGGCACATCCTGATGTAAGAAATTTTAAAATTCAAAGGGAAAAAAGGTGCACTTTTAATCTAGGAAGCACAATCATTAACATTTAGTTTATTCTTCAAGACTTTTTCACTGTCTATGCGACATTTTATTTAGGCAGACTTTTAGGAATCATTTAACATACCATGGATATAATCCTGGGTTTTAACAACCTAGAACTGTATTGTATGAACATACCACCATTTATGCCCTCATTGATAAATATTTATGTTATTTCTAAATTTTTCTTATTATCCTT